TGAAATCGAGTTTATACAATGAATTTAGACATTGGTAAAGGGTAAAATAAGAAAGGTAAATATCAGCCACTATCCAAATTACCCCCACATTCCATAAAATTGAAGTCAAAATTAAAAGATTTACACAATTTCTCACTTGGTTAACAAAAGAAAATTTTATCATTTTACTTAAGTGAAGACAAAAACCTTTCTATCTTGTTTAGAAACCTAACACTAGTATTTGTTTAAACTTCTTGAAGTTATTTCAAAACTGTCTTTCAGCCTGCTGAGGTCATCACCTTCCCACAAGAGATTATTTTCTATTTCAGGTGTAAGAGTTTGGAAGTGAAAAATGATGTCTGAACAGAAAGTGAAACAGACAGGCTTTTTGTTATTCTAAGTGGTGTAGTATCTTGGAAAATTCCAATGTCACTAATACAACAGTAAACATATTTTTGGGAATAAAATCTATTGCCTCCTCATAACTGAATGTTTATATCTTTAGCTGAATATTATATATTCTTGTTCCTAAGGTATGAAATCATGAATTTCAAGGAAATGGGAAAAGATTATTTTGATTACATCAATGTTGGGAGCTGGGACAATGGAGAATTAAAAATGGATGATGATGAAGTCTGGTCCAAGAAAAGCAACATGATCAGATCTGTTTGCAGTGAGCCATGTGAGAAAGGCCAGATAAAGGTAAAATGGAGTTCTTTTTCTTTAACTTTGTTTTAAATTCAAAAGTTTAATTGGTTATTCTTTATATTTTTGGATACTTGTTTTACATTTTATATTGTAAGATTCTCAAGTCAGAAATTGTGTTTTTATTTGTTTTCTTCTCATGAATTCCTCCTGCTATCTAGAGTGCAACCCACAATAGTCTTAGTATTTGGACTTATTGAAGTAATTGATGAATCACAGTTGCCCACACCCTTCCTATTCATGTGAGCCTTTGAAGATATTGTTTCCTGGGAATAAACAGTTCACATTTGGAAGACACATTAATTTTTAATTAATTTAGCAAGTCATATTAATGTGATAGTTGATATCAATGGAGACAAAAAAAGTAAGACACCCTTTACTATCAGAAGGTTTACAGACTAGATGAGGAAAAATGTCATGACACAGATATCACGTCCAACATGATGGCTTCATTAAGAAAGAAAGGGTGATATGGAAGTTCAGACAAAAGAGAGAGAATTAAACGTGAGAAACTGGACCATAAAAATGGGTAGGATTTCAGAGTTAGATGTAGGGAAAAGATCATTTATATAAAGGGAACAATGACAGGAGGTACAGAAGTGGTCAGACTTTTGGAATAAAAGTCAACAATCTAGGGTGCATGGTTTTAAATGGTTATTATAAAAGTAAAAGGTAAAATGATAGGTTGAAGCCAGATTTGTGGAGTTTTGAATGTCACACTAAATAAGCTGAACTTAAATTTTTATTAAACAGGATTCTGGGCATCATTTTCACCAAGATGTTAACATAAGCT